TGCTTCAACTGACACCATGGCGATTCCAGTTGATTGGCAGGTAGGCAGCCATGCCACATGTCAAAGTGACCCACAAGGAGTGAGAGAGCCAAGGATCTGGTCCAGAAGGCTGAAAAGGTTCCCCACCCCTGAAATTCACATTAATCCAAACAATGCAAAAGAGAGATAATTAACTAAAAGTGTGGGGAGTGTTGGTTCTATTTTAGATCAACATAAAAGGAAGAAATACTAGCAACATTTAACAACTGAAAGAACCTTAGCTGCTGATTATATCTGAAATGAAATAGAAGTATTTTATCCTTTGTTCACGTACTTCAACGGTTGCTGCAAGGACCAGTTAAAAGGGTAAAGAAAAAGCCAAGAGATTCTAATCTTGATTTATTTCACTTAGGGAATACATAAACAGAGGATTACAATAAGAAAAACTCAGTATTATACATATGGGGTCTATTTTTAGTCGCATAATGACACCTGCTACAAATTATCCAAATGGAATCTCCATGGCAATAAACACTCAGGCTGTACAAAAATAAAAAAATAAAGGCCACCAATATAAATTACAGTTTCAAAGTAAATGCTACTTCTGTACAAACTAAGTCACCCATTTCAAATATTCATGGAATCATTGGGACTGGCTTAATCTACTGACCTAAGGTTTTCCATGCACTAATGCAAACCATACAATGAATATCTTAGATATAAAACCCATTATTCGACTATATTATGAAAACAAAGCAAAATGCCTCTCACAAGAACCAAGCAACAGGATGTATTTATCCCCTTTATTTAATACATCTATACAAAATATGGTATACAGGTGTAGCAGTAGATATAGGCCTCACATATACAAAATAAGCTTCAACAGAAAATACCAGCATTACAACACTTGATCAACACATGAGTTTTTTCTGCACTAGCTACAGCACAGATTGTGGTCCCTTGCCTTCCTACAACATAGGAATATAGGAAATGGTTGGTTGGTTAGTTGGCTGGTTTATTGCATTTCTATCCTACATTTCCTCTAAGGAGCTCATGGCTCCCCCTCCCATTTTATACTCCCAACACCCCTGTGAGGTAGGTCAGCTGAAAGATACCAGCCCAAGGTTACCAAGTTAGCTTCATGGTTGAGGAGAGACTAGAACCCCAGTCTCCCAGGCCCTAGTCCAGCTCTCTAACCACTATGCCACATTGACTCCCTGGTTCTCTTGGTCTTCAGCACATATTTGCTATCACGTAGCTTCACAATTAATACTGTGGGTACAGCAATAACAATAACCACACATTAGCATGCACAGAGTGCTAGCAGCATCCAATTACAGCAGCAGGACTGCTTGCATGTATGCATGAGCCCTTGCTGCTCATTAACCCTCACCTTATTATACTCCCACATAAATCAATTGCATTATATGGTCAAGCTCACATGTGGGTGGGTCCACAGCCATGTCACAACATGCCAGGTTGGCTGAGGACTGAGTCTCTCAACATCTCATCCATCATACCTTTCACACCAACAGTGCTTTCTAAATGCTTTGCCACCTGTGTACAGCTTCCCCCACAACTAGCAGCTAAGAGAGGGCATTATATCCAATTGCAGCGCAATAATTTCCACCTTGGACTTCTCTACAGTTCTTTGATTTTGCTGTTCGAGTCATTGTCGTACCAGTGGCCTTGAGAAACCGCAGATAACCTTCCTTCCTAGAATTTCCATGGCAAAAAGTTTCACAATTAAAACTACCATGTAGAATCTTCCTGTCTTTTTCAAAAATTACCCAGTTCAATAAAACTAGCATACACTGTTTGGTCTCCCAACTTGTTAGTCAAGCCTGAAACTTTCTTCTGCTGCTGTGCTGCCAGCATTAAGGATAGGCAAGCAGAGGCAACAATCTGGAAGTCAGGGAACTATGCAGTCTTTATGCTTTTTTCAAGTCAAAGTGTCACATGTTCCCATTGTAAAGATCTATATTTCCATTTCCACTGTGATCAGAGCACATGCATACATATTGATGAGGTCATCAATGGCTACTGGTCATAATGGGTACAGCTTGTGAATACCAGTTGCTGGAAACCACAAGAAGAGAGAGTTGCTGGAAACCACAAGAGGACTCTTGTGCTCAGGTCATTTTTCAGAGATTCCCACAGGCATCTACCTGGTTGGCCACTGTGAGAACAGGATGCTGGACTAAATAGGCCATTGGCCTGATCCAGCGGGCATTTCCTATGTTCTTACCTATATCTGATCAAGTTTTCAGAATGTTTTGAATGCCTAATGAGTGAACAATGTCTGCCTGATGTTGTAGACACAAAATAAGCCACATCATCCACATATATCAGGCTGCCAACTTTACAATTTATTTTTCATCTGTTCTTGTTTGTGTACACATAACTTATGACTAATAGCTAGTTTCTGAAATGTATGACTAGAAGGCAAGGAGTTTTAGCTACGTTTCCGGTTCTGTCACTCAGATGCCTTGCAATTGTCATGTACCTGTACTAAATATCCGGATGCCCTTACTTGCAAAATGGGAGATGACAACAACAATTACGCTTTGATAACTCATAGACTAATGAAGGTCTGCCTTAACTAGGATGCTATTTCTGAGCAACCTCGTTTCAAAGCTTCTAGATGCCATACAAGTATAATCTTCATATGTAATTACTGTTTGAAGAGAGCTTTGGGCACGCATATAATATTAAAGATAATTATTCTGACATATGAACAACTTACATACAACAGCATTTAAATGCCATGGGTAACCTATCCCCATGAGGGATCTTGCCTCCAACCTGCACTATTCACATGTTCCCAAATGTCAGATCCAAGTGAACAGTTATAGCTATGAACAATCCCTAAAAAGATTTTCAATGAACGTGGCATCAAATGTAACATGTGGGTGATATAATCACATAATTCAGCTATAATTAATCATAACTACCTTTAGTATTAAAGTTACATGTGAAAAAAGCTTTGTTTTATGAGCCTTGATAGCTCAGTTAGTAGAGCATTAGACTATCAGGGTTTGAGCTGCCCGTTATGGGTCTGAGCCCCACTTTGGGCAAAATGCTCATGCGTTGCAGGGGGTGGACTAGATGACCCTCATGGTCCCTTCCAACTCTACAATTCCATGATTCTATGTCTACAGATTGAATGAGATCATAAAGACAACCTAGGACTTCTTTACAGAGATGCATAATTGCAATAGGTATGTTCCCCCCCCACCAGCAAGTACATTTTTAATACAAGTACTTCTAAAAACTGCAAATAGCAAACACCATCTTAAGAGGGATTACCCAATCTCACAAACTCACAGAAAGAATGCCTCTTTTAAGATGATGCCTGCTACAGGACATGTATACATCATCCAAAAACAATGCATGCTTCTTGCTTCAGAATTGTATATGCAAAATTACCGGATGCAAATGTAAACTGTAGATATGGCTAAAAATTATTTGATCAGATTGCAGCCCTAACCATTAACTGATGATTCATCTATGGAATACAGAATCTATACTATACATATATCAAAGATGGATGGAGCAAACAAGTAGGGCCAGTAGACACAAGGTACGGTCTCTGACAGGGGCAACCCTTATAAACTGCCAGTAGAAATTTCCTTGACCAAGGATCAGGAGAATTGCTGCTGATTGTATCTTGTTGTTGTTTAGTTGTGTCCAACTCTTCATGACTCCATGGACCAGAGCACGCCAGGCACTCCTGTCTTCCACTGCCTCCCGCGGTTTGGTCAGACTCATGTTTGTAGCTTCGAGAACACTGTCCAACCATCTCATCTTCTGTCTTCATAGATTGTATCTATGATCAACCAATTCACATGCTACCTTGTCCCAGGGGATGATGACCAGAAGAACCTATTATCCTTGCCTGGGAATAAGTTCTACTGAACACCACAGCACATTAAACTGCAAACCAGCAAAAGGAGTTGAGATACATTCAGAAATGGCACAACATTTTACTCCTTAACTGGTTTATTGAGTGTAGGGAATAGACTCAATAAACCAAATGGTCTCCAAGGTGCCACAATGATTTCTAACAGCAAGAACCAATCTTACCAATGATTACCTACCTGGGAGACAACCCCAATGAACACAGCAGGGCTTACTTTTGAGTAAGCATGCCAAAGATGGGTCTGCAAGCCTAATTTCTCTCAAGTACGGTAAATCATTCCTCAGATAAGCCAGTGGCTTCCTCTACTCTTCCTTTTCTGTCCACAGCCAGAATACCATATAGAGCAAGGCCTCCTTCCAACCCGCGACCACAACTACAGGACGTTAACTCTCTTTAACTTCAGCATGTTTGGGAATTCAAGGCCCCAGAATCCAGAATCGCCACAAATACTGTGCAAATTCCACAGACTTTAACGAGATTTGTGCAAGGGTACCAATATATATATAGGGCTGCAGCTTCAATCCCAATGCCCAATCCCATTCTTTTATGTATGTAAGAGTCTCGCGCGTCGCGTTGCCATTGCATACCCCGCTGCAAAGTGCAAAGCCTGCGCACGGAGAAAACTCCCCAAGGCTTTGCCCTGTGGAGGCCGGTGGGGGTGGGGTCTTAACTACCAAATGCAGGGCCGATCCCCTACCTTGGGAGGTATACGGCCGGTCACATACACACACACACGCGGGCACACACTCTTACCCGGCCCCCGGCGGCTGAGCTCTTCCTCCGCAGCGTGAGTCCGCTCCGGAGCAGCGCCGGCAGTTCCCTCAGCTTTTGCCGCAGCTGCACTTGCTGCTCCTGGTCTCTGGCGCCGGCGGAGCTCTTGCCGATGAGCAGAGAGTCGGCCCTGTCACACAGGGGCTGCATCTTGACGGAGCCCCCAGCCATGCATGCTACATTCCCGAGGAGACACCCCCCCTCCTCTCTCCTTCCCTCCCTCGCTTGCTCGCTCCGGCCGCGTCCCTCTTCCTGCCTCTCAGCAGCCTCACTCAAGCCCGCTGGCGCGCGCGCGCGCGCGCACACACACACACACACACACACACACCTTTCGCTTGTTATGCAAAGCGCGCCTTGCAGGCGAAGGCGTTCGTAGCTGTCAGAGCAGTAGCGGCGCCCCCCGCCTCCCTTCTGGGCTTGGGAAGGGGGCAGGGAGGAAACACGCCTGCCTGCTCCTCAAATTGCGCTGCCCCCAGCCGAGGTAGGCCCGGGCGGGAAGTCTTGGTCGCACAGGTGCAGGGAAATGCGGCAGGAGCCTGGCGCGCTTTAGCCCGCCACTTTTCCCTCCCTCCCCTTCTCTCTCGTTCCTCTCGCCGCCTGGCTATGACGGGGACAAACAAAAGTCCAGGTAACCTGAAAAGGGGCGGACACAATAGTCACGACCTGCTGTTTTACCTGAAACCTCTCCCTCTTTTTCTATTCCTGCCCAAACGCTCCTTCAGGCACCTTATAGGGGCCACTGCAAGGGTGCTTCCACTCACCCACCCCCGTTTCGCTTCTAAGGAAATCACACAGGAGACTTCAAATTAGGTGTCTTGCCCGAAGTATGTTCTGAAATAAATAATAACAATGTTCACTTTGCTGGATTATTTCCATTAAAAAATAATAATGAGCAAGTTTTACTAATGGAATCCAGAATGTGCCGCACATCCCTCTCTAGCTGATGCTTGGTAAACAAGGCACATGAGCAGCGAATGCCATGTCTTAAATATCCACAACTCCCATCAATCCGGCAAGCCCATTTTCACATTTTTTATGTTGTCAACAAATTTGTTGAACAATAAATGTTTATCATAAGGCAAAACGGCTCTCCCTTAATGTTCTGAGATTAACAAAATTTAGTACACTCATGGGTGAACTAGGTCCCAATTGAGGCACGTGTTATTGTGCCAGCCCAATAGCTGACTTGTAAGTTGGTAACTAGGTACAAATTCAGTCTATAACAACAACCGTAGAAATGGTTTAACAATATGGTACAGTTCCCATTTTCTAACAACGTTCTGTTATGTACATATGTATTGCATATACACATATGCTACAACAAACTGTTGGCACTTACAATTTTAGGATGAAATAATGGAGGGAGACCTTTGACCTTTTCTCTGTCTCCTGGCTAACTTTACTCAGCATGCAAGGAGTGGCTGGTGCTGGCACTGACCCAACCAAAAGGCCAAAGGGGCAGGGCAGACAAACTCTTAATCCCAGGGTTGTGGGTTTGAGCCCCACATTGGGCAAAAGATTCCTGCATTGAAGGGGGTTGGACTAGATGACCCTTGCGGTCCCTTCCGACTCGACAGTTCTGTGATTCTAAGTGAGAGGCACCTGGCAACAAAGTTAGCCTGAAAGTAGCCCAAGGTCTACAGGTGGTTCCCAGCCCACTGCTTGAGAGACAGCTCCAGTATAGAAGTACATGTAAGAGGCAGACCTTTAAAATTCAGATTGTATTGCATTATACCAGTCTATCAAGTTCAATAGGTGAAAAGGAAAATGGAGGGATGAGTTCTAATCTTTTCTCCAAATTGGCACTCTTCTTTTTTCCTCCAAAACTTCCTATCAATCACTGAAATCATTGCCCTGATAGGGCTAGTACCTTTTTGAAAATCTGATCTTGTCCCTATGGAGCTAGAGGGGAGGAAGAAGGCTTTACATCCTAATTCCTATATTTTAATTTTGCTGCCAAGGATGAGTCTATAAACTCCGTTCAACCCACACATGTGGGCACCTAGAGGGATAGATTGCAATTCATATATGCCTCTCCTAGCTATTAAAACCCACCCCACAGGACAGACTCCCATCTGAAATCCTGGCAAGCTGTTGCCAGTGTAAACAATACTGCACTTGATGGACCGATGGCCTGACTCAGTATAAGGCAACTTCCTACATTACTATGTCCGGTGTGTGTGTGTTTTGTATTCTGGAGGGTTGTGCTCCAAAACAGTGGTTGTGAGGGACATAATGGGATTTGAACATTTGCCTGGAAGGATACCTGGAGACTAGTAGCAACAGGGCTATTGCTGGTTGTGCCACTGGGGCTGAGGGGAGTGAGGGGAGGAGCTGTGGCATCATGTATGTTGTTATACAGGGGGTGGATTGAGGGCACGTCCCCATTATAATGAGTTCATTGGCTTCTGGCATTTATGGGTGATGTGGGTATAATTGCTAGCACAGTTCCTGATTGGTGGACACTGGTATAGTTTCCAAGGATTCTGGGAAGATTCCCATTATGCTTCTGATTTTTATTTTTATTTTGTATTTTCTGGTTGTGTGTCTTTCCCCTCCCAGGCAAACCACCCACTGGATACAGTGGCCGTTCCACCAACACAGAGCATCTGTACCTCCTTCTTTCCAAGAGTAATGTACTGTATTTTTCGCCCCATAGGGCGCACCGCCCCATAGGACGCACCTAGTTTTTTTGGGGGGGAATAAAGAAAAAAAATTATTTCCCCCCCAGGTACGGGGCTGGCGCGGGGGAAGCCCGAGCTTCCCCCAATCCCAGCCCCGAGAACAGCCTGCTATCCGCAAGCCTAAGTCGCGCCAGTCTCCCCAGGCTTCGGAATGCAGGCAGCTCTGCACAGCCATCGGGAGGCGGGCGCGACTTCGCGCCCCGCTCCGGATGGCTGCGCGACTTCGCGCCCCGCTCCGGATGGCTGCGCAGAGCTGCGCTCGCCCCGGGACAGCAGGCAGCTCTGCGCAGGCAGCCATCGGGAGGCGGGCCCGATTTTGCGCCCCGCTCCGGATGGCTGTGCAGAGCTGCGCTGACCCCAGGACAGCAGGCAGCTCTGCGCAGCCATCGGGAGGCGGGCCTGACTTCGCGCCCCACTCCGGATGGCTGCGCAGAGCTGCGCTCACCCCGGGACTGCAGGCAGCTCTGCGCAGCCATTGGGAAGCGGGCGTGAAGTGGCGCCGGTCTCCCGAGGGTTTTGCAGAGCTTCCTGAAGCCTGGAGAGCGAGAGCCTGCATTCGCCCCATAGGACGCACACACATTTCCCCTTCATTTTGGAGGGGGAAAAGTGCGTCCTATAGGGCGAAAAATACGGTAAGTGCAGAATGCTTCTGTTAAGTTCTGCCTTTGGGTTTATTAATCTTCCGTGTGTGTTATTTTGTTTGTTTGTACATTTGGTTTTAAACGAAGAGTAAAATGAACTAAGAGTAAAATCCAAGCTGGGTTTTTGTGTGTGTGTTTTTTTCCAAATTTTGAAATATGTGACTAGATCTCTCGCCACAGTCCTGCATTGTCACTGTTGTTTTAATATATCTGAAAAGAACATTGGCCTAAACAAGAAAACTGCTTTGACCACAGGATCTGCTCACGTCACCAATAATATTGTCATTTTAACAAATTAGAGGAAAGGGTTGGGGTTGTTATGTCTCCTTGGGGAAATTAAAGCTGTTAACACTTTTATTGGGCATCTCTGCTTCTGTGTCATAAAAATGCCGTTGCTAATATACTGCCTTCCCCCCCCCCTTGCAGATCAAGGTTAAACTGAAGAATTGCTCTGTGTTGAGACAAGCTAACCATTTGTTTTCTAAGGATGTGAAAATGTGTACTACACACACAAAACTCCTAGAAATAAATCAAGGATTCAATAGGTGCATGATCCAAGTTGAGATGTAAAATGCATAGGCTGTGTGAATACAATGTTAAGATTGGTTTTTCAATTGTGCTGTTTGGTCCTCTATATGCATATATATTTCCTTATGGGTCATGAAATTGAGGGCCAAACCGCATGTTATTTTGAGCACTTATACTTTAAAAAGCACATGCTTTTTCTTTCATACCATTTTCCTTTCACAAAAATCAACTGGTGGGTGTCGCTGGTTTAGATCAGAAATACTGCTATGGCCTAAGAAGAATCTTTAACCCATTATTTCCTTGTATTATTTTCCCATTGAAAGGCCACCAGCAGCACCACCCCAAAAATGCTAGTGTTGGGTACCAAAGATGATGCCTAGTCAACATCCAGCATCAATTTATCCCCAGGATATAAGGGGGGGGGGATCTGCAGGGGAAAGGCCAGCTTTTAAATTGCAGGGCTGATTAACATAAGAGACTCCATAAGAAACACAGGCCAGCACACATTTTCATTTGGCTTGGCCTAACAGGCAGTTTGCCATGGCGCCTGCCAGCAACGCAGCGCAGCCAGTTGCAGCCAGGATCCAAAGAGCTGCTTAAGCTTACACAAGGAACATGAATGAGCCCAGTAGAAATCTAGAGTTTCATTTCGCTTTCAACAGCTGTTCTTCTACCATGCCATATCACAGACACTTTTGAAGCACCCGTCAGTTCCACAGCAAAACAGTTTTCACTTGCAAAATTAGATCCATGGCTCCAGAGTGTTTCTCTGTGAGTTTCTTATTTGTTCTTCTGTGGGTTTGGAACCTTATTCGATATATGTGATATATTTGACACATGCATTTCAGTTGTGTGTGGACAGGGGCAAACCACCTGCACTGCCAGATGTGCGTTTGATGCTTTTGCTGCAGTATCAGAGGCAGATTTGGGGGAGCGTGACTGGTTCGGATGCATTGGTCACAGAGACTCAAGAGCTTCAGTTGCAACATAGAATGGAAGACGAGAGGCAGGGGAGCTCCACATTTTGGCGTAACACGGGACGCTGCTGAAATTTGAGACCCCTAAGTCCAGCACTGGCAGTGATATACGGTAAGTCACTGTTCACCTTCTGCAGACTCACAACTTTAAATAATAGCTTGTCACTCAAGCAGAGGGGAATGCTGCAGAAAATCTCTGGCAATGTATATGTGCACTCCCACTCCTAATATTTCTTTAAATTAATTAAAATTAGATTAGGCACACCATATGTTGTGGAGCATAATCCAAATGCAATGATTAAGTGCCATCATTTTGCGATGAAGGAGGAAAAAAGTACAACACCTGCATAATTTCAAAAGAAAGTCAGGAATGAGGATGGATACACAGCTGCAATGTATTAACACTATAGAAGATTCAGTTTTATAGCATTGCTTAGCTGCAACGAATGCGGGTTGCCCCAGGCAATTGTTCATGGCCTCACTCTTATGGGAACAGAACAATACATTTCTCCTAGGCAAAACAGTAGGAGGCCAAGAAGCACCTGATCCATCTTTCAACACATTTGATAACATGGGACAGCACTAAGCAATTGTTTGTAATACATGCAATTGTTTGTAGTACATGGTGATTCCATTTGTTTCTTGTGTACCAAATCAGCTTGTTTCTCTAGGGTGTGCCAGCTGTTGGACTTTTTAAAATAATAATTGCAAAAGTCAATACAATTCCTTTTTAATTTTCTGCCTGCTTGTTAAGAAATCAAAGACAGCTGTGTTTCATCTGCAAAACTGTATTTGTGGGCACTATTATTGAGTGCCCCCAACATATTTGATCTCATACAGAATACAAACATCCCATGTCTCTTGCCCAGAGGATTTATAAT